TAATAACTTTAAAAAATTAACTTGTTAGAATGTTTTGGAAAATATGTTGGGGTCTAAACATTTATCAATATAATTCTAACTTTTGAATACATTAATTCTCATGTTAATTATTAGGTACCATAAATTCATAAAATGTAATCACAGATAAAAGTTAGCTATAAGTTTATTCTAACAAAGAAATACTTGCCATTAGTACAGGAAGGGCTGATTTGTCTTAATAGTTCAGTAATTGGATTTCAGGCATATTAACATGTAGGTGTTTTTTTTGGAAACTACAGAATTCAGTATCAAACAATTTCTTTAAAAATATTCTTCCTTCTTTGTCACTATATATAATTTACTTAATTCCAATACACAATTGGCAATTAATCTAACAGAGTAGAAGTTGCTATATGGTGTAGGCAAAACAATATTGTTTTGCCTACACCATATAGCAACTTCTACTTATATTACTTACTTTCTTTCAATTAATTTTTATATTAAAGGTTGAAAAACATCCCATAAACCATTCTACATTGTAGAGCACTGCAAAGAATGAATTTATTTTGGATACAACATTTGATGGGGATTGTCTAATGCATAGATTTGTTTTTCAGGTGTAAAAAATGTGATACTACACAAGTGGAACTGGAAAACCAAGTGGTTACTGCCACCCAGAGCAATATCTGTGATGAAGACAATGAAACCTGCTACACCTATGACAGAAATAAGTGCTATACAAATAAGGTTCCATTTTCATATGGTGGTAAGACCGTAATGGTGGAAACTGCCTTGACCCCGGAGTCCTGCTATCCTGACTAATTAAGTCATTGTTGACTGCACAGCTTATCTTGAAAGGCTCTCCATTTTGATCCAGAAAGTTAATATATTTATTACCAATGAATTTGAAGCCACAATATTTTGATAATGTAAAACTCCATCCTCCAAGTAATTAAAATAGTAACATTGTTATTTTTATTAGGTAATTACTTCTCAATTCTTAAGTATTATATGTTCACATTTAAAGTGTTGAATCTCTTATTGCCCTTGCCTGAAGGGGTCTATGTTAATAATATAATTTCTAACATTTAAAAAAATGGACAATGAGAGAAAACAAAACTTAAGTTTAAAAATCAGGATACAGAATTAAATTTTGTGGGTGTTTTCAGTAGTTTCTTTTTTTCTTTTCTTTTTTCTTTTTGCTTTGCCTTGGAGAGCCAGAGCTTTTGCACATTCCATGCTATTCTCTTTGACAAAAAGTAAAATGTGTAGAGAAAAGTGATATGCAAACACAAGTCAATTATAGATCTTCATTAAAAAAGTGATTAGAAAACATGTTTTAGAAATATTTAAAAATAATTAAAATTGGATCTGTAATACTTATGAAACCAGTGAGCTGAAAGTTACATAATTAAATGCAGAATTAAAAAATTTGTTTTGACATAACACAGATTTGGTAGCAAATGATACATTTTTTTTGGATAAAATTAAAAAAAAAATCAGGGTCATGTAAGAAATTCCCATTGGAAATCATCACTATTGTAACTGAATCTAATGAAATATGTATTCCACAATATGTATTCTCTAGCACAGTTTGAACAATTAAATAGATTTTTAAGCATATACCTGTGTGAAATAATTTATTGGAAAAAAGTTTGTGTTAACTTTGTTGTATGTAAGTTAAATATAATTGATTACTTATAAATAGTTTGTAAGTATGATGTGGTTATGCATTAATCACTGAATTCATACATGTACTTATCTGAGATAGCTTTGTGATTTAAAACTAAAATTGAATAAAAAGGCAAGGTCCCTCACGACAAACATAGTGTTCCTAAGTTTAGTTAACATCTCTCACCTCATACAATTACAAGCAATTCTCTTTCTTGTGATAAGAACTTTTGCGGGGAGGTAGTTTCTGGAGAGGCTCCTCATCTTTGCCTTGTTTTTTTTGCCTACCTAATAGGAAAAGGTTTTGTGACCACATTGCCTCATTAAATGCCAGCTAGAAGAGCACCTCAGACTTATAGTCCTGGGGCATTCCTTCTTTCAGAAGTTCAGTTAAACTCGAAGATCCTCATATTAATAACAGTTTAGTACTCACCATTAGCTAGGCATCAATCAGTGGTTTAAGTATTAACTCATTCAATACAAATCCAAAGTAGCTGGTGGCTCTTAAATGAGAGTTACTGAAGAAAGATGAAAGCGTTCCTGTTAGTTTTACTCATATGTTTGCGTGTGTTAGTCAACAATTTAGCAAGGAAACACCAAGGAAGCAACACAGAGGAGGCAGCTCTGAAAGGAGCCTCTCGATTTTTTGCAGGGAGCATATTTGACCAATGGCTCTGGTACCCACCACTGTGTTTGTATGAGGTACATGGGCTGCCTGAGAGGGTAAGGATTCTAATACAGACCAGTGCCTGGGAGACACAGGACTCCTCTGATGGGTGACTGACTTGAGGACTCTCCATCAGCCTCACTGAAAATTTCTTAGCACCACACCTCCATTATATATTACTTACTAGAGGCCCAGTGCACAAAAATTTGTGCACTCGGGGGGAAAGGGGGGTCCCTCAGCCCGGCCTGTGCCCTCTCGCAGTCTGGGACCCCTCAGGAGATAACGACCTGCTGGGTTAGGCCTGCTCCTGGGTGGCAGAGGGCAGGCCCAATCCCTAGGTGCAGCCCCTGGTCGGGCTCAGAGCAGGGCTGATTGGGGAGTTGGGGCGCCGCTCCCTGTCATGCACAGAGCAGGGCGGATCGGGAGGTTGCGATGCCACCCTCAGTCACGCTCAGAGTAGGGCCGATTGGGGGGTTGGGGCACCGCACCCTGTCACACTCAAGGCAGGGTCGATGGGGAGGTTGCGGCGCCACCCCCTGTCACGCACAGAGCAGGGCCAATCAGGGGGTTGGGGCGCTGCCCCCTGTCATGCACAGAGCAGGGCCCATCAAGGGGGTTGGGGAGCTCCCCCCTGTCACGCACAGAACAGGGCAGATCAGGGAGTTGGGGCGCTGCCCTCTATCACCCACAGAGCAGGGCCGATCAGGGGGTTGGGACGCCGCCACTGTCACACTCAGAGCTGCAGGGCGATCAGGGGGTTTGGGCGCTGCCCCCTGTCACGCTGATCCAGTGCCAGGAGGCCTCGCGGCTCCGCTGATCCCGGTGCTGGGAGGCATATTACCCTTTTACTATATAGGATAGAGGCCTGGGGGCCGGCTGGTTTGCCCTGAAGGGTGTCCTGGATCAGGGTGGGGGTCCCCACTGGGGTGCCTGGCCAGTCTGGGTGAGGGGCTGAGGGCTGCTTTCAGGCTGGTGGTTGTTGACTGAAGCTCCCAACCGCTCCTTTTTTTTCTCTTTATTTTATTTTATTCTGGGCCAGCTTTAGCTCTGCCTCTAGCTCTGAGGCTTCCGCTGCTGAGCGTTCTATAATCGAAACAATGTATAACTCTAGCTCTGAGATCCCGGCTGACTGAAAGCTGGTTTCTTTAGCTCTGCCTCTAGCTCTGAGGCTTCCGCTGCTGAGCGTTCTATAATCGAAACAATGTATAACTCTAGCTCTGAGATCCCGGCTGACTGAAAGCCGGTTTCTGGGGTTTTGTTTATCTTTTATGTTTGCAACATAGTTTCTTAGAGTTGTAGCTCAGAGGCCGGCAAGTCAGGCGGGGAACGTTGGAGTCTGCAGTCACTGGAGCAAGCAAGCCTCATGTTCGCTTCCAGCTGCCTGGCTGCCGGCTGCCATCTTGGCTGACAGTTAATTTGCATATACTCACTGATTAGCCAATGAAAAGGGTAGCGGTTGTATGCTAATTACCATGTTTCTCTTTTATTAGTGTAGATGCAATCTTCCTTAGCACCTTCTTTCCTCCACACAGGTCAGACCTGAGTCAGAGTCTGATGGCTCTCCCAGCCTTCTTGGGCTCCTGCCCTATTTTCGTTCACAGGTGTTTTTCCTAATAAATATCTTGTACCTTTAATTTCATCTTGGATTCTGCTTCTGTGGGGCCTGAATGAACATAGTAGCCAATTATGAGGTATCTGATTTAATGATGATGATGTTGATACTGAACATTATTCACATCCATGTGATTCACCTATGTCATCTAATTTTATCCTCAGAATGACTCTTGGGCTTACCTTTATGTTGTTATTGAGAAAATGAACTCAGTGCATAATTAATAGTCTGACTGGTTCACGGGTCTCTTAAATGGCAATGAAAACTCAATCACTGCCATAGCCTCAACAAATATCAATAGAAGCCCTCTGATAATCATTTTGCCCACTATAACATTTTTTACTGTTACCGTGACCAATTTATTGATCTGTTATAAGTCAATTATTTCTGAATTTTTTTGTCCTTTTAAAATTTGAATTAAATGGATGCTGTTTTTAAAGGACAGGTATAAGTGGGTATTAGTGGTGAGAATGTTTTTTCTTCTGCATAGTGCTTAGCTATTACTTATTAGTAAGTGAGCACACTCAGCACCAGCCAGAGAAAATTACATTAATTAACAATAAGAGTAATGTTCCTTCGTGCCAGGCCCTTGAAATCCAGTAAACACAAGTCAAATATTCATTTTAAGACTATGGATAGGAATGATCTTTAATGATCTTTCCAGGTCTTGGCTGTGTAGCTTAGTGGGTAAATTCATGGCCTATATTCTATACTTAGTGACTAAATGACATCACTAAGGCAAGTTCATTCAATATGATTAAAAATAGGAGTAAAAACAACTCTCTCATAGCTTGTAAAAATAAGGATACATGCCATAATTTATGTATACCACTTATTACAGCTATTATAGCATTCAGTAACCCTCTGTAAATTGCAGTTGTCATTGTGTGTTAATTGACTTCTGGCTCTTCTCTCTATCCAGGCAACAAATCAGAAAATAATGTGATCGTATAGGATCACTGATTCTCAGTTTTTAGCATGCAAGAGACTCACCCCGAGGACTCATTGAAACAGATTCCTCCCTCCCAACCCCCATGATGACTAAGTAGTTCTGGGATACAGCAGAAGCAAGTACATTTTTCAAAAAATTTCCAGCAGCTGCTTGGAATCCTGTGAGAACCACGGCTTTAGAATTATAAGCTTCCATCTCCTCCTGGTGGTTGATTCATGAAGTACAATGCATATTCATTTTTAACATGTTTCATTTAATCCTCAACTGCCCTATGAAATGAGTACTATCTTCATTTTACAAATGATGAAACTGAGATGCAAAGAGATGAAGTAATATTCATAGGTTTCACAGATAGTGTATGGAGAAGTGGTAATTGAATCCAAGACTGTCCATTTTCTGATGAAGCACAGAAAAGAAGGTGCTGGGTCCTTAGGCAGATGAAATGGACACTGAGTGCAGAGGACCGTGATTGGGGAAGTGATGGGCTTTGAGAGCCGCTTCATCTATTTCACAATCATATCTGTGCCCAATTACAGCTCAGCTTTCTCCTTTATTTGAAGAATTCTGCTCTGCCAAATGGAATTTTGTTTGTTACCCGCTAAATCCTGTTTCTAAATCTTATTGGCCATGACTTCAAAGTGAGAGATAAAGGTCTAGTGGCTGATGTTACAGGGCTAAGGGTGAGAGGCAAGGAAGAATGGGTGGACCAAACCAAAAGCTTTGATTCCGTTGTGAAATGGTGATTACCTATTTCCCAAAAGTGCAGTTTTCTGAGTTTTAATGGGGCAGTTGGTCTGAGTCACAGTGAAACCTCTGAGGTTTTGTGAAGGAGGGTCACAGTTGTTGATTTGAATCCAACATTTCTAGTTCCCTTTTTGGCTTTTAGAAATGAAGTTTGGCTTCCTGAGGGCAAGCTGAATCTTCTTTAGGGTCCTTCGGGTCATGACTGAAGCAGCCTGGGATAGGTCAAAGCAAGCAATAAAAGTAACTCAAAGGTCATGTCTTGTGAATTTCCTAGGTGTATTAAGTTAAGACTCTGATGTGAATGATTAAAGTGAAATATGTTCAGGGCATTCAAAAAGCCAGAGGAAGAATCTTCATGATGATGGCTGCTAGACTGTGTTCAGAGGTGGCTGGACCCTACATTCATTATCCTACTTCACTTTCTGCTTAAAGTGGAAAAGTTCAAGATTTTCCCCAGCCAACTGGATCAATGGCCAACTGCCCTTTAAAGAAGTCTATTTCAGGCTGTGAGGCAGAAACACTTATAAGTCAGTTGTATTAGCCTTGCTGGATTATCTCCTATTTGCCATCCTCGGGTGTTATTTTCTTTCTCGTTTATTTACATTATCATCTAAATATATGGCTGGGATATATCCAGCCATTTAAAAATCAGCAAGTGATAGCCACAAGATGTAGGAACTTGCCATGGAAATGGAGAAATGGCAGTGGGCTGGGAGTGCTAGAGACAAGAGGGGGTCACCTCGGGGCCTGCCATCCCACTGCATGCACCTTAACTTTAGAGCTGACTTTAAAAGCTTTATCAATAACTTAACAAGGGCACACAGAATAATTCCTTTACTGCAAGGAACTCAGGCCTGGTATCCAGGTTTGCAGAAGGATACCTGTGCTAATGAAGAGTCATTTTCTACAGGGACATTTTCTCTTTTTATTTTCTCCCTATAGTCTCAAATTTAATAGATGTTTTTGTCCCCATTGTTTATATTTTACATTACAGAGGTCTCAGGTGATAAATTAAGTTCCAATGACTCATAGATGAAGATTGTCAGCATATCTGCCAAGACAAGTGTTTGATCCATACATTTTGATGAAATAGTGAAGTGAAAGAGTATTTTTACAATGAAAGGCATTCATATCTAGATTAAAAAGTCATTTGAAAAAAGTAGTGAAACATAAAATGT